ACTTTTTTCTTTTTTTTTCTGTTTTTGTTTTTGACTGCTGGAGGAAAAAACAGCCTGGAAAGGTAAAGCAAATGGTATAAGGAAAGTTTGTTTGTGAAACAGGCAATGTCTGAATGTGGTTTTACGGTTCACTGGCAGGCAGAACAAACTTCTTTGTTTTGATTCAAGATAAAACATTTCATTTATCCTAATACATGTCCAGTGAGTATATAAGTATGTAGTGGATATAACTGTGAATATTTAAATACTAAAATGGAGGAAGTGCACAAGCAAAAGTAATAAGGTAACGCACAATACAGTAAGTCAAAAAGAACTGAAAAGGGTAATTTATGATTTCATCTTCTTTACTTCAAGGTTATTGATTTCAATAATGAGCAAATGATTAAAACTGGGTGCTCCTCAACATGTGCAGATTCTTAATTACGTTTGTTTTTGAGCTACAGCGGAGAACACCTACGTTATGAGGGAAAGAAAGAGCCGCTACACATTTTATTAAACAAAGATTCTGAGAAAACGTCTGTTAAGATCACGGGACCATGTGAAGCTTTAAAACTCTACAGAAAACATAGTGTTTACGTTTGGTTCCTTTTTCTTTTCATTCAGTTCAGAAGATTTTACGTTTAGAAGTTGCTCAAGTAGAAAAGCTCTCCTAGTATCATGAGACGCACTCTGACAGTAAAGAGGATTCTCTCAGTTTTCACCTGCAGTTGTGCTGATCAAAGACACTCAACAGATTATTTGCAACCCAACTGTTGTTTGAATAATATTGAAATAGATGATACACATTTGCAAATGATTATAAATGCATGGCAGGCGCATGAGAACAAAGCAATGGCTCTTGTAAGGAGTAGATGCAGTCAGGGCACATGGCAGGTGTTATGTGGGAGCAGATTGCACTGATGCATGCAGATAAATGCTACCCTGGATTGTAATGTGCTGCACTTTCTGTGTCTCAGTAGAGCAGGAGTAAACTGGTACACACAGCTGCTCTCCATCAAGAGAAAAAGGGTTTTCAAGGTCTGTGCTAACAACATTACAACCAGGTCTGTAGCTGAATCATTACAAGTGAACGCAGCTGATGGTTTATTTTTCAACTAATGAATCAACTTCATACACTTTCACAAAAATACACAAAATTAGAATGTTTTCTTGGACCTTGAGACGAGTGGCTAAGTAGAGGTGAAGTTTCACATTTGAAAAGGTGCTTCCTGATACTGTTGCAAGAAAGCCTCTCAGCAAAACCTCTCAGGAAAAACTCATTTTCTGACGCAATAATTTGCAATTCAAAAAGGTTTGCTGGCATCCAGAAATTATGAAACTTTACACTAAGTACAAAGTTAAACCCTCCCATTCAATGTCTACATGCTTCCGCTAGATCAGGTTGTAACAAGACGAACACACAGACAAAATTTTTGGTACCCCTCGAGTAATGAAAGAAATACCCACAGTGGTCACAGAAATTACTTGAATCTGACAAAAGTGAATAAAAATTTCAACGAAAATGAACAAATGAAATTCAGACATTGCTTTTCAACCATGCTTCAACAGAATAATAAAACTCATGAAACAGGCCTGGACAGAAATGATGATTCCCTTAACTTAATATTTTGTTGCACAACCTTCTGAGTCAATCACTGCAAACAAACGATTCCTGTAACTGTCAATGAGACTTCTGCACCTCTCAGCAGGTATTTTGGTCCACTCCTCATGAGCAAACTGCTTCAGTTGTCTCAGTTTGAAGGGTGCCTTTTCCAGATGGCATGTTTAAGCAACAGAATTTAGGTCAGGGCTCATAGAAGGCCACTTCAGAATAGTCCAATGTTTTCCTCTGAGCCATTCTTGGTTGTTTTATCTGTGTTTTGGGTCATTATCCTGTTGCAGAACCCATGACCTGCGACTGAGACCAAGCTTTCTGACACTGGGCAGCACATTTCTCTCTAGAATGCCTTGATAGTCTTGAGATTTCATTGTACCCTGCACAGTTTCAAGACCCCCTGTGCCAGATGCAGCAAAGCAGCCCCAGACCATAACAGAGCCTCCTCCATGTTTCACAGTAGGGACAGTGTTCTTTTCTTGATATGCTTCATTTTCCCTCTGTGAACACAGGGCTGGTGTGCCTTGCTAAAAAGTTCAGTTTTTGTCTCATCTGTCCAGAGGACATTCTCCCAGAAGCTTTGTAGGCTGTCAACATGTAGTTTGGCAAATTCCAGTCTGGCTTTATTATAATTTGTTTTCAACAATGGTGTCCTCCTTGGTCATCCCCCATTAAGTCCACTTTGGCTCAAACAAAGATGGATGGTTTGATCTGACACTGATGTTCCTTGAGCTTGAAGTTCACCTTTTATCTCTTTAGAAGTTTTTCGGGGCTCTTTGTTACCATTTGTATTATCAGTCTCTTTGATTTGTCATCAATTTTCCTCCTGCGGCCACGTCCAGGGAGGTTGGCTACAGTCCCCTGGATCTTAAATTCCTGAATATGTGCAATTGTAGTCACAGGAACATCAAGCTGCTGGGAGATGGTCTTATAACCTTTACCTTTAACATGCTTGTCTATAATTTTCTTTATCTCCTGAGATAACTCTTTCCTTCGCTTCTTCTGGTCCATGTTGAGTGTGGTACACACYATGTCACTAAACAGCACAGTGAGTATCTGTAGCCCTATATACAGGCCCACTGACTGATTACAAGATTGTAGAGACCTGTGATGCTAATTAGTGGACACACCTTGAGTTAACATGTCCCTTTGGTCACATTATTTTCAGGGGTACCATGTTTTATGAGTTTTATTTTTTATTTTTTATTCTTTTGAGCATGGTTGAAAAGCAATGTCTGACTTTCATTTGTTAATTTTCATTGAATTTTTTTTATTATTACTTTTGTCAGATTCTAGTTTCTTCTGCAACCATTGTGGGGGTTTCTTTCATTAAACGAGGGGTATGAACAATTTTGTCCATATGTGTAAAATTAGTTACCATAACTATGCAGATCTACATTACGATGTCATCAGGTGACTTAGAAACCATCCAAGCACTGAACAAATGCTTAGAACAAATCAGTGCGTAGATGTGCTATAACATTCTTCAGCTGAATAGAAACAAAACTGAAGTTATTATCTTTGGACCTAAAGAAGAACAATCTAGAGTCAGCACGCAGCTTCAGTTATTACAGCTAGAAATTACAGATCAGGTCCGAAATCTGGGTGTAGCGATGGACAAAGTCAGCCTTCTATCACCTATAGAACATTTCCAGGATTAAGGGACTAATGTCCAAGCAAGATCTAGAAAAACTTATCCATGTATTTATCTTTAGTCACATTGATTACTGCAATAGTGCATTCAAAGGGCTGCCAAAAAAAATCAATCAGACAAGCTGTGGCTGATCCAGAATGTTCCTGCTTGTATTCTCACTAAAACCAAAAAGATTGAGAACATCACCCCAGTTTTAAAGTCCTTACACTGGCTCCCTGTAGCTCAGAGAATATACTTTAAAATACTTCTGTTAGTTTCTAAATCACTGAAAGACTTAGCACCAACATACATCAAAGATCTATTATTGTATCAACCTTCCAGACCACTAAGGTTTCTGGTTCTAGTCTACTCTGCATCTCCAGAACCAAAATACAAAACAGTGGTGGACAGTAATGGAGTACATTTACTTGAGTACTGTACTTAAGTACATTTTTTGAGTATCTTTATTTTACTTGAGTAATTATTTTTTGGTATACTTATGAATTTCACTCCACTACATTTCAAAGGCAAATACTGTACTTTTTCCTCCACTCCATTTCTAGGAAGCTTTTAGTTACTTGTTACTTTTGGTTCAGCATAGTTTTGTAATCAGCTGTTGCTGGTTTTCTTTCTTGAAATGCAATTGGCCACACTATGTTCCTCACAAGGGGAACCAATCACAGTTGTAGCTCATATCTAGGACAGATTTGAAATTACATCATCTTCTTCATTAACTGTCATGAGCTGAGCTCCACCTTCACTTCGAACATAACCCAGCAATGGAGATTGTTGAAGAAAGCCAAGAAACCAGCTTGATGGCCATATCTCAGCTCCATGTTTGAGAGTTTAGGATTTAAAAATAGCTCCTATCAGTTTAAACGTCTTCTGTGTTCATCACGGATGAACTACATTTCTGCGTTTAAGAGCTCACCACTCTTTTTATTGTATTTTTATGCTGAAGTCTTTACAGGTGGTGAATTTGTAGCAGAGTGCTTCTGTGTGTCCATACATCAGGTGGTTTCTGAGAGTTACAAGGTTCTGTAAAATCACTCAGAAAACAATACAGCAATGAACTGATATTAGACATTTTAATCTGTATTTGTACTTTGAATACTTGAGTATTTTTAAATGTATGTTCTTTTGAATACTAAGTATTTTCAAAAGGAAGTATTTCAGTACTTTAACTTGAATAGATTTTTGACTGAGTAATTTTTACTTGTAGTTTAGACTTGACTGAGTATCAGTACTTTACTCAAGTACTAGAGTTGAGTAATTTGTCCACCACTGATTACAGCTAATATCAGCTTAGCACTTCAGGTAAATTGCTCACATAAAAACATGTTAGCTAAATTAAGACTTGAGTTTAAGACTTTGTAGCTGTTTGCTTTCTGCTACAAAAATGATAAAACCACGCCTGTTTTAGTTGAAGATTTGTCACAAAATAAGTCTCAGTCAAGCTGAAAGCTGTCAAGTGAAACTTCTGGTGAGAAAACAAGTCATCAAACAAAACATCACAGAATCATCATAAACTGTATTATGTATACAATCTGTTCTATAAAACAGGTAGATTTTAAGCACCTTAATATAATACTGAATACTCTGTTCAACTGAAACAATTTTTGTTATGTCTTTGTTAAAAAATGTAATAATAATGTATTTGTGGATACTTTACTATCAGTTGTCAAATTGTATAAACTGAATAAAAAACAGTAATAACATTAATAAAAAAAGAAAAATATATTTCACAGAGCCCCACACCCTGCTCTTCCATACCTGCATCTGTGTGACATAAACTGGCTTGTTAATGAGTATCCAGGTGGAGGTCTCATAGCAGGGGGGGACAGTGATGGAGCCCTCGTACGTGATGTAACGTGTGGTGTCAGGGTACAGGTCAGCCATGTTCAGCCCCAGTAATAGGAAGGCATCATCTAAAGGAAAAAGAAAGAAGCACGTATGATGAGATGTTGCAGTGTGTTGAAGTAGAACTTCAAATCCACTAACAGGAACCCACAGAAAAATTATGAAACAGGAGGTGAGTATAATGTGTCTACACTGTGCCCTTGTGTGTAGCTACTTTATTAATTTCATAATAAAAGCAAAGGCAAACAATACATTTTAACCCCAGTCTTTGAGCTTTTACATATCTCTGTGTTAGCAAAATATCTCATGTACCACTAAAGTGATTGAAATGAAAGATCATATTTCTCCAGTTTTAGCTTCTCTCCACATGTTCCCTGTCAAATTTAGAATAGAAATTACAATCTTACTCCTAACATACAAAGCTCTTAACAACCAAGCTCCATCATATATTAAACATCTTAATGTTCCATACTTTCCTAACAGAGCACTTCACTCTCAGACTGCAGGTTTACTTGTGGTTCCTCGAGCTTCTAAAAGTAGAATGGGAGGCAGAGMTTTCAGTTATCAAGCTCCTCTCTTGTGGAACCAACTTCCAGTTTCAGTCCGTGAGGCTGACACTCTGTCTACTTTTAAGATTAGACTGAAGACTTTCCTTTTTGAGAAATCCTATAGGCTTGGGTTTTATGAGCTATTCTTTAGTTATGATGCTATTAGCCCATGGACCACAGCCCAAAACATATTTTTAGTCCAGCTCAGGGTGGCAAAATTATCATAGTTTTTGAAAAGATACATGTCTGTAGATGATTTTTTGGTATGATAGCCTGGTACCTAAAAATATAGTGGTATATAAAAATATATATGGTATTGCTATCATTTCTGTTACATTTTTTGTTGTTGCTGTACTTACTATACTTGCTAAATCGAGCCACAAAGTCGCTAAGTTGGCAGCAATTCAGGTTGATGGATGAAGCAGGAGCAGAGTGGGCAGTTTGTAGGCTGCACAATTGCTGATTTTAAATAAAGTCAAATTCCTCCTTAGCGGCTCATCATCACTTTAAGATGGATTATATACCAGCTGACTGGTAAGGAACGGAACCAGTCACTGCAGGCAGCTATGGTGCACCTTTATTTTCTCGTCCTGACTTTAATGCACAAGTTTACTTTCACATTTTTACTCAATAAAATATTGGATTTTAAATGTAACTAAGTGCAATAGTTGAGATAAAGCCTTCTCAAGTATTTTCCCACTTTTTATTTTATTTTATTTTTTGCAGCTCTACTGCACTCTACTAATTAAGTTTAGAGGAATGGTGCAAAAGACGTTTTGGTTGAATTTAGGGTTAGGAATAAACAGATAATGGTTAGGGTTAGGGAAAATGTCAGGGTTAGGCATAAATACTACAAGTACAAAAATGAAGTCAATACAAAGTCCTCATTTTTAAGGAAGTACAAGAATATATGTGTGTACATGTTTTTGCTACCTAGTGGGGATGACGATTGACCATTTTCCCGATACACACAGCCTGGTGAGGATCCACTGTTTCTTATGGGGACAAAAATTGGTCCCCAATTGGGGTCTACCATTGGTGGGTTAGGGGTTTGGTTTGGGACTAACATGTAAATTGAGTTTAGGTTAGATTTTGGGTCAGGTGTGAACCTGTGAGGTTAGGTTTAGGGTAAGGGGTCAGGGTTAGACTATAGAAATGAAGTTAATGCAAAGTCTCCATGAGGATAGAAGAACAAATGTGTGTGTGTGTGTGTGTGTGTGTGTGTGTG